TGGACACCTGCTTGCACTGTCGCCCCCTCCCTGCAGTTCACACCCCTCCCTGCCTCACTCTGCACCTCTGAGGAGGAAGCTGTGGTTGTTGGCTGTGACTTTGGGCTCTCAGTTTTCTTCACTGTGCTATAGCAGGGATCAGACAAGCTGGCCAGCATTGTCTGTGGTTCTTATAAGGAGACACCTTAGAAAATGGGACAGAGGAACTAAAAAATTGTGTTGCAAATAAATGAACTCGTCCTGGAAAGATCAGGGTCGCACTGGGAAAGCACAATTTCCATTTTCAAAAACCCAGTTTCTGCATGTGTCAGACGTGTGTTTGCTCAACAAGCTGAATGTCACTGTCTTTTGTAAACAGACAGCAAGAGGGGCCTTCTGGGGACCGTGTATCTTTCTGTGAAGCACATAAGAGAGGACTGAGTGTGTGGTGGCAGCACCCACAAACGGGAGGAAGGGAAGAAGCAGACAAGACTCCAGGCCTCGTGCTGGCACCTCTGGCAAGTGTGCTGGGCCCCATGGAAAAACAATGCCGGGCTGGGCTGGCCCCTTGACTGTATGCCAGGGAAGGAACCTTCATCCATAAAGAAAAAGATGTGGACTCGAAGACCCATGGCCAGAGCACAAGTTCCTTCAGAAAGGGATCTTCACCATGCAAGAGGGAATTTACAGCAATTGTAAGCAGGGGCAGGGGGGCATGGGCTGGCATTCAGTCCCTGTCTTTTCTCTGATGTTGTGTTCATTTTTCCTGCTGGATACTTTGTACTATTTCTGTTTGAAATGGAGGAAGCTCATATCTTGGAGTCCCAAGTGAAAAAGGAAGTGGTGCTGGTGGGTGTCAGCCCTGTCCAGCATCTGAGAACAAGAGGAAGATATGTCCCCTCCCTGCCACAGGGTGACCTCTTTTGTCTGCTGGACATGGCAGAATCTCCTGTTCACTCAGGAAGAAAATTTTATGGGCTATAAGGGCTGAGAGACCACATGGGCAATATCTGTTCATGCCTTCACCCTCCGAAGTAGAAAATAAAAGGGGTGAACTTGAAACACTCCTCTTGCTGCATCTGCACTTGGAATTCTGAACCTCACACTTCCTGCCTTACTAAAAAAGCAACAATTAACTTGAGGCCTGGCAAGCAGAAGACATCTCCCCAATCATTGGCCAAGGATTCCCCTAAAACACACTTGACTTCTCAGAGCCTCTGTTTTCTCATCTGTAAAGTTGGGGGTGATGAGACTGAGCCTCAAAAAGTAGGTGATGGGAGCCCTGCCAAGTCCCCTCCCTCTTCCCTCTCTGTGGCACCCCATTCACCGTAGACCAAAGGAGATGAGGCGTGGGAAGGGCTGTCCTGTGCCAG